GGAATTCATAATGCGGCCCTCCTTGGAGGAATCTCTAGTATCTAGTAACAGTCAACTTCTCTAACTGCCAGTTTCAGAAGATTTGTAGGAAATTAATTTACATTAAACTATCCAATACAGTCAAGATGAGAGAGGAGGATTCTCCCCTACCAAGTGAAATACAACATACTCCTGTAAGAAAATGACCTAATAATCCTATAGTTTGTTTATGTATTGCTGAACTTTGCTACCAGCAAAATGCTGCATTTGTAATAGGTAACATATTCTGTAAGAGAGAGAATATTTAAAAGAAGGCAAAACCAAAGGTTATTGGCTCTCTTCTCCAAATGATCTTTCTTATTCTCTCTTTGTTGCCTCTGTATTGAGTGCAAGATTTTGTTCAATAAGCTATAGACAGTGGCAATGAGCAATAAACCCTGGCTTACATTTTATCAAATGTGCTCCCACTCATCTTTTGAGCACTGGAAATGAGAATTTTGCAACAATACTATAGTAATAGGTGACAGCCATTCCAAAGAAGAGGATTCTGTATTTACATAATAAACTTTGGTTGATGGCTTGGTCAATAAAAAATGACAAACAAGACATCTGTTGGTGTCTTGTGCCATTGGTAATCAAGTGATAAGGGTGTGCCTGACCCAAAGGAAACGAGATCTCATGGTGAACATGATTTCCCTGTAACTCAGTGTTTCTTGTGTCTCTCACTGCAAACTCCAATTCTGGTTTGAAATGCATTTGTGGCACATGTGTTGTGGGGTATGGCTGTGCTGACGCCTGCACAGCCATCAGGAATCTGGGCTGAGGGGTGTAATTTGTCAGAGGTGTTCACCCAGATGCTGGGTTTTCGCAGAGCTGAATTGGGTTACAGATTGGAGGGGGCAGAAATCTGCCAGAAAATGCATTAGCATTTTAATAATAAAGCCCAATCACTAGAAAAATCTTGTATTTTAAAATACTATGCTTCCCGTTACAAAATCAAAGAAAATTACTTTTCTGCAGTAGTGAAAAGGTCTCTTGCTTTAGAGAGATAAAATTCTCTTGGTATCAAGAAGGGCATGACATTTTTCCCTTGTTTGATTATATTGGGTATATTAAATATGACCTGAATGTTTAAGGTTGCTCGAGTTCAAAAGATTTTGAATGACATTTTTTCAATTTATTTTGTTAAGCCTCTGCAATAGTTGTAAGTGGTCATTCTTTTAAAGAACAAATAGTAAGAGGTCAAATAATCCATATATCTATGATTCTGTATTTCATTACAAAGGAAAGTTCATAGAAGAAATGTAGCTATGGTTGTTAGAAAGAGATATGTAAGAAGAATTATTGGTGCATAAGTAAAAAAGCTTTAATCCAAAGAAAAGTGTATAGAATCGTGAAACATTATTGATAATTCAGAAGATAATGAGGTATGAGGAATTCTAGTTTTCAGCTATAGGTGTTCACTGTTAGAAGGCAGACTTGATTAAATATCATCAGAGACAAGAGGAATGACCTTAGTATTATGATAGTTAATGAGGTATGCTATTCTATCAGTTCATAATTTAAGATTGGCAGGCTTATTTTTAAGTTTAAAAATTAAAGAAATAAATGAGCTTAGTCATTCTTTATGTTGATTCCTGATTATTCTGAGTACTAAAAATTGAATTTAGGAAAAAAGCAATGGATTTCCTGGTTCTACTAATTTTTTTTTTTTTTTAAATTTTATCACCGGTATCTCCAGTTCTTTGCATCTATTGTTTTGCAGTTCTGTTGCCTTTCACAATATTTGGTATTTTTTGTTATGTGTCAAATTCTAATGTCCAGTGTTAGTAGAGGAATGTTAGCTTCTGTTTAAAAATAAATTAAAAAAAAAACAGTCTACACTTTCAGTTTAAGAGATAACTTGGAAGCGGTAAGTCACACATACAAGGAAATAAATCTTTAAAATCCCAGTCACCATTTTTAGTAGCACTATTTTTCCTTTGGGTGGTGAGGCTTGATTCATGAGCTCTGAGTTAAACTGACAGTGCAGTTGTCTGGTGCCCTTAGGATGGGAGGGAAGCCCTCCATGTTCCTTATTGTTGTTAACAGACAGGTAATTTGTAGCAGTAGATTTCAGATGTTGCAGTTCCGGAAAGCACTTTTTTTTTTTTTAATGGCATGTCTCATACTTTTTAATTTACACAGCATTAACTCATTTTTCATAAATGTCCTAGCTGGAAGTTTAAGATGGTTTTCTGTACATGAATGTACATTCTTGCCGTCAACTTTGTGACTGCTAAAATTAGCTAGTAAAATTCAGCCTTGTCTCTTACTTTATTTTGCAGAAAAAGACACATTTCAGTGAGATGTCAAAATTAGTCCACATGGGGAAAAAAAAAATAATCAGGTTTCTGTTTAACGTATCCAAAATCTGAAACAAATATGCCAAACAGGGATAACTCAAGAGCCATGAGAGACAATCTCTTGGGAGGGAGTTTGGTCTTCGCATCCAAAGCTGGAGGATGCACCCACATTCATGGGCGTAAGTTTTGTACATGCTGCGGGAGCAGTGGTAGCGTGAAATCCTCCATCCTTGCTGCCCCAAAGAGGTTGGGAATGAAGAAAATCTGGTGATCCACACTAACCTTGAATAAACTTCATGCTGGAAGGTGGTGGGAAGAAAAGAGGGCTGATGAGCTGCCAGCCTGGCCCTGCTGGAACCGCCCAGGCCCCTGCAGCATGGGTGGAAGCAGCCTGGGGAGCTGGGTCTGGGCTGAGGGCTGTTGGGCTGAGCTGCCCAAGGAAGCCAGGGCATTGACTGCACACAGAGTTAGCTGTGGTCTGCCATGGGCCCCTGCTCTAACACTGGAGAAGTCACTTCATGCCTCTGCACCAGTTTCCTATCACTTCTTGTTCCTTTAAGTGTCAGATGCTATTTGACAGGGACTGTCTCACACTTTTTTTTCTTCCTAGTAAAGCACAGTCTGGATCTCAGCTGAGACATTTAAGAGCTACTGACATTACAAATAATATATCATTATTGTATCTCTCATCTTATTAATCTCACTTCAGATTAAAATGTCTGTGCTGTAGTTTAAATTACAGAGCATTGCTAGTATTTCTTAGCATATTAATGAGAAGAAAGGCACTAAAAGGCCTGCATGACAAAAAAGTGTGAATATGATTTGCCCTTTCATTTAACAAATTACTTTCTTTTTAATGGAGTAGAACTGGTTAAAATTTTCCACTGAGAAATATTTTTTCCTCAAAATACTGTGGTTTTGTTTGATATGCAGGAAACTGTTATTACTAGTTAAAAAGAAACCCCAAAGTTAAGGTTTGGCATAGAAAATACTGAAACTTCTGCAATGTAAGGAGTCATTTTATTTCTATGGAGAGAGAGCATCCTGTGCAGAAATGTGGTCCAGCTGTGTTATACCCTCTGTTCAGCTCCAAAGGGTTCAAAAGGCATTTTTTTTTATATTTTCATTTGCATAGAGTGTTTTTTTTTTCTTTTCAGAAGTTTAGAAGGGACTGAAACAGACTATTCTATTTCACAAAGTTGTGTTTTAAAACAATGCTGTGCTAGTCCGTGGTGAGACCAGAACAATATACACGGTGCATGGTATTGAGTGAGGCAGCTGGCTCCTGCTCTGACTGCTGGAGATATGTCAGGATTTATCCAGTATGTTCTCATTCAACTGCTACAGTTTTAGGTTCTTTACAGCATATTATACTGGACCAGGCCATAACTCACTCAACTGAAGTTGATGTTAAGTGTCATGCCTATACAGCTTCCAACTTTTCATGTTTGATTGGCCTATTTTTTCAGCGGAAAATGTCTTAGCTTTACATAGCAGTACTTTTTCTGGAGGAAATGGGATAAGGCTGAGAAAATTGTCCTGTCCTTGCACTGATGTATACAACATAGTGGTGCAATGGGGCAGAGAATATTACTTGAAGTCATCCGTGGTCTGAAATACTCAGCAGATAGGCAGTTGTGACTCAGTAAGGGTTTTAGAGATGATGTAAAATGCACAGCCCAGCAAGAATCTCTCTCACCCTAGTTATAATGGAAAACTGAAGAAGGGTTACCAAATTCAGTGCTGTGCAGGATGATGGATTCTATGTGATTAAGGTCTCTGGTAGTACCATGCCCACAGTAGGATTTCCTTTGTCTTCTTTTCATGTTTGCTTGAGGATTTAAATGTAGGTGAAAACATTACAGTTACTTATTCGTGGATTTGAAAGGGAAGAGGTTTGTCTTACTATTGTCACTTAAAGCTGTTACAGCAAATAAATGTGGCAGGATGCAGGAGCATTGTCAGATCCACAGTGCGCAAAGGATAAACACAAGCTTGCTTTCTCCTGGTCTTGTATTAAATCCCCTATGAGATGATTCAGGAAGGACAGTAAGGGCAAATGGCTGAGTGATGTCAGTGTTCCGAATGCAGGATCCAAGGCACTGATGATTCCCAGGGCTGGAAATTCTATTTTTATTCTGTTTTGTCCAAGAAAAGTCTTTATTGACAGTGATTTGTTGATGCTGACTTCTTTTGCTCGTTTTCTTGTTTTAAGGGAACATTGTCCAGTTACAGGCTGGAAGATTCAGTTGTCTTCTGGCTACAAGCCCCTTCAAACACCAAATAGACTGCTCTCTATATACAGGGCAGATGTTCCACCCACATCTGTGTACCTTCAAACTCCAGGTATGTTTCTAAATAAAAGTTTGGTTTGGCAACACTTCCATCAGTCACTATTTCAGCATGTTTCCAGGTGTGCTATAGTCCATGTATCCAGTGACAAATCCATGACTGTTGGCTTTCTGGTAGCAGTGCTCTTTGCACTGCCTTATAATTTAGTCATTCTTATGCAGGGGACTAGTTTCCAGGTCCTGGAAAGAACAATCCTTTCTTTTTCTCACCCAGATGCCTTCTCTTCCAGTAAACACCAACCACAAGGAACAAGCAGACCTTTGAGCGATTGTAAATCAGTTTCTCCATTCAAACCCAGTTTTCCTTTCCCTTCCTTTCATATAGGTTGATAAAGTGTGTGGACAGCCCAAACAACAAGAAGGGAACCTGTCATCAGACAATATAGTGGCAGTGAAGGAAGCGACTGAAACCCAGACATTCGTGATGGCTCACGCTAGTCTGAACAATAAAAGAAGGTAACCCTAAGCAACAGCTGCTTTGAAATAAACTCTCTGCCTCACAATGTGTGTTAACGGTTCCTTGCATCATAGTATTTAAGCCAAAGCCACAGTTCTGTCACCTTGTCTGTGTGGTATCCAGCCATTGCCATCACTGATAGTTACACAGATGTCTGTGGTATTACATTGCAGGTCTTTCCAAGAAAAGCTTTTTAAAGGCCAGACTTGATGTCATTACTTAGCACCAAGGTGTTCATTATTTCCAGAAACTTTCAGTGAAAATGATGAAAGCTTTTCCTCAGCAAAGTCTGAGTAATTTCCACAGTCAAGTCTGAATTACTTAAAATACAACTGCCCAGGTCTTTAAGGACTTGAGCTTATCCGAGGGCAGAGGTGGGAAGGAGGAATGAGTGAAAAGGAAAGATTCATTGCCCTGACGCAAAGTCAGTCCCTCATTTCACAGGTCTGGGGAGGAGTAATAAGATCAGTTGCAATCTCCTTGATTTGTTGCATAACAAAGCAAGAGCAGAAACATTTATGTTTAGGCTGGTTGTGTCCATCTTGGCTTCTGTTCTTCAGCTGCATGCCAGTTGAGACACTAGACAGCTGAATTACTGCCACTGGCCCTGGCATGACTATCCCAGCTCCCAGATCTAGTCTTTCTTTCACTTTCCCTCATGTAGCTCTTGTAATGGTTTTCTGTAAATTGTAAGGGGGGAGGGAAGGATGTCTTTGCAATCCCACTCATGATACATGAGCAGATGTCAGTGCTAACTGACCATAAAATCACAATGACATATTTCTGGCTAACATGTTGTTCTCTGTAACACCAGTATTAATCTGGAACAACTTCAGCAAAGTAAGTGGAATTGTGCTAGGCTTACACCTCTATCTGAGAACAGTATCTAATTTGCCCAGGGAGCCCATGTGTATCTCTGTATGTTGGATAGGTGGATGACAGACAGCAATGTTAAAATTTCCATAGCCTGGATTCTGGAGTTTGAGTTGTGTAGATGAGAGTTTTATCCATTTCTATTTTAATTCTCATCTAAGCTTTCATGAATAAAACAAACACTGCTTTTAAAGATAAAAGTAATAGCAGCAAGCTAAGTTATTTGAGTGACTGGTGAGTTTATACCTTTGTAATTTAAAACCAAAACACAACAGTTTGTGCTAGTGCTTGGAGCTAATCAATTTTTACCATGCAAATCAGAGAAAAGACCACTAAGGAAATTAAATTAATAAATTCAGCAGTAATAATCCAAAGAACAGTTGTAGTACAATTGAAGAAATATGCTTTTAAAAAGAGAGCCCTAGGACTTATACTGGGACTTATACACTGGCAACCAAAAAGGCAGAATTACCAACCTGTTAACAGTAACCTCTTGAACAGATGCAAGTGTGTTTAATGGCGTGACAGCAGTTCTTTCTTACCTGAGGATCTGTTCCCTCCCCTTCCCAACCATCTAGAATTATTTGCATATTGACCTTTTCAATGTAAGACCTGTAGATGGAAGAGTAAACATACTAAAGCTCATATACTGTAAATTAGACAGTTTCCCAAAATTGGTCTGTGCACTGAAAATTAATTTATCAAAAAAATCTAAACTAAGGCCATCCTTATATAATTAGCATAAAACAATACTGAAATACAGTGTTGACAGGTATTGTGGAGAGCTTACACACCAAAAATGAATGATGGAGCCATGCCACAATTAGTAAGAAGTGGAGAATATTTTTAAATTTTCCACAATTTCCTATAAAACACATGGCATGAAGCTTGTCCTTTGCTTCTTGGAAACAATTGTGAAACAGTAAATAGAGTGAAATACACAGTGATTGGCTACATCACTGCGTTGTTCATCATCTATCAGTTAATCACATATGATATCAATAAAAAGCAATTTTAGGTAATAAAATTTTATAATGGATGGGTGAAATCATTCCTGCAGTGAGTTGTGTAAAATACACTTAGAATGACAGATAACTGCTACAGTGTATCTAGATTATGAGAGTAATTACATGAATCTTTTTTTGGTGCCATTCCTTCTGGCAATTTAAAAAATGAAGAGCAATAACATCAGTTGTCTGTCAGTTTAGGTACAAGGTCACACAGGGAATTGGCCTGAATCTGTTGATCTGTGTAGTAGACATCCCTCCAAATGATTCTTAATTCAAGGGGAGTATGGAACATGACTCCTGCCTTTAAGAATAAGGAAAGAAAAAGAGAAAGAATGAGCCAGCACTCCCCAAGTAAACAGAAAAGCTGTGGCTCGTTCCCTTAATGTGTCAGAATATTCCCAAGCTCAAAGAGAACCACCGGTCTGGTTAGCATATATGTAGGAGAAACCACAATAAAGTGGCCTCTGATCTCTTCTGTAGTACCTCCTTAGAGATGCCCTTAAAAATCCAATGTCGAACAGCTTATACCTACATATGTATGTTTGCTCCAAAGGTATTACATTTTTGCAAAGCCAGTTACAAAATCCTTTTCCAAAGAGTTTGAGAACCTCTGGTTTCAGCTGTTCAGTAGAGTTGAGGCTGCTCATACAGTTTAAAAGTGGGACTGTTAAGATGGAGTCTCTTGGCACCATCTGGCCTGACTGGTCTCTCTTCTGGGTGTGTGTTTTTTGAGTCTGGTTGGAGGCAGTCCTTCTCACCCCCTGCTGTTCTGCACAGTGTGGTCCTGCGTGGTCCCCAAATTCATGTAGCAACTGGATCCTCTTTTGCAGTAGTTGGACCCTTTTCTGCTCCTCTTACTCTTATGGGTTCCTGGGAGATTTCCCATCTTTCTTTATTTTCCCCTGCATTCCATTCCTGCATATTTTTTGTTATGCAACACCAAGCGTCAGGAACAATAGTGCAAGAAGCTGAAACTTGAATAAATGTTCTATGATCTTGTAGGAAATCTTTTCCTCTGATTAAGCTGAAAAGTATAGATTTGATTAGTAAATTTTTTTTTTCATTATGCAGTCATTCAGGGATTGAGTACAGCACTGAAACTGGCAGGATTGCTGCTGTAGTCATTTTTTAATATGGAAGTTACTATAACATGTAGTAGAGATGACAAGAAAATTGAAACCATATGATGGTACGGGGAATGTACATGGCATGTACAGAATTTCAATCAGTAAACTGGGATGTTATTGCTGAGTTTAGCACAAAGTACTATTCTGGTCAGGGTCTGGACTCCTAGCAAAGTTGAATACCTGCCTTTTAGCATGTATGCTGCATGTAATATTTCAAACCACTAACCACAGACTGATTACAGATCTGTATATAAAAATATGTAATGTTTAACAAAGAACTATTACATGATACTAGGTCCCTAATTGGAGGAGGCAGGCTTTGAAATGATGCTTTGTTGGGATTTCTTTGTTATGCTGTGGACTTATGGATCTTTTATACATCTTAAAATAAACAATTTTGAGGTTTGGGGGGAATGTTTGGAGTCAATGGCATCTATTTTATTTAAAATTAACTATCTATTGGGTCAGGCATCACATGATATTATTATTGACATTTGAGTATTAAACTGCTAGTACAAAACAGATTATTAATGCCAGATGCAAATTCACTTAACTGTGGAAATGAATCAAATGTTTCTGACTGACTGGCCGAGGCAGAAGTTTCAGCAGACCCACGTTTTCCCTGTTACAAATTCTCATTTCCTTTTTTGACTGTGTGTGTTGGAATCACTGCTTCATTGATGACAGGTGACAGTCACCTGACGATCAGTGCAGGTCTATCCTCTCCTCTGGCCACCCCTGCCAATAGTTCCCAGAAAGTATGATGGCAGCTTTGCCATTGTCTGGGTGTCCTCAGAGCTGCTGAAGGTGGTGCTTACTCTCGCCAGTAAGAGTTAACTGGATTGGCAAGTATTGTTGAACCTGTTTGCCAGCTGTTGCCATTACTTTATACATGAGAGTACGGGTATAAGAAAGAGCAGAGGGTGGTATCAAGTCATGTAAGTGGAAAATTGCATCATGATGTTGATGTTAATATTAAATACAATGTTTAATGTTAATTAAGGGACCTTGGGATATCAGTGCCACGAAATGCATTTGCGCTAAATAACTACCAGAGTTATTTCCACAGTTTTTCCTCTAATATAACCTTAAAGCCTGTCTCTCCTGTTTTGCAAAGTCAGGGTTTTTTTTCAGTGGTGCAATCTGTCCAGAACTGAACAGCAAAAATATTTGTATTCACATTAAGACAGCAAATTGCTTGTTGTACCAGAAAAATGAATGCTACTCGTTTGTATCCCCCTTCCCATGGTGCTCCATTCTAAATTGTTTGCTATTTGTTTTCTTGTATAGCCTGATACATTTATAGTTCTTCCATTTGGTATCAGTTATAGTTAATTTAAGTACCACTGAATTTATTTTTGTCTTTTTGCTGTGTGTGCTGCATTTGTAATTGTGCTTTTATTTAAAAATGATTGGGAGAGACAATCTCAGTTGTATTTTTTTTCAGTATTGCATTGACATTTTTAATGGCATCTATACTTTGGAAAAATCTCATGACAATTTCCTTCTTATTTGTTTTCTTATATTATCCTGTGCATGTGCTTGATGATCTTTCTTTCAAATAATTTTTACTTTTCTCTTTTGTTTCTCATTTCTTTTCCTTTTTTGCCTGAATTCCTGCTTCTCCCCTCCTCCCCAACCTCTCCTGATTGATGCTTATTTTCCCTGGCCTATTCCAGTTCTCTGCCTCTGAAAGCTTCCAAGAATGACAAATCAAGAAGTTTGAAAAAAATCTCTCGGTAAGAATGAAAACAAGGCGACATACTTTGTTGTCTCTACACTTAGCTCATCTCCATTGAAAGCTGCTGTTTCAGCTGTAATCTAAGAATTGGCATACTTTTGATTACTGCTTTTAACTGTGGGGCACTGGGAAACCACACATTTTCTACCTAGTGTGTTTAGTTTTATACTGATGAAAAGTAAATATTTTCACTTGTTAAGGTTGAGAGTTGGGCACAGAACTCAGCCTTTGCTAAGATGCTACTTTGAAATGTCAGAGCCCCACTCTGCTGAAAATGCAAAGGAGTTTAAGCCTCTTGGTGTGAGCTGAGCAACGCAAGCTTTAGACTTTTCCTCCTTCAAAGAAAACTCCATTTTAGAAGCTGTAAAATCTTTAGCATCTGTGTCACCTTTCATAATTGATACTCTCTGGCTATTCTATCAGGTAGGTGGCCTTCTATCTGGGCCTAGCTTTACTGTATAAATACTTAGAGCTCATATTTGTAAGTTAGTGGTCAAGAGGTAGAAATACCAATTCCCTTGTCATAAGCCCCCAAATTCCTGATTTTTTTCTTTGCTTAAAATGACAGCTTTCCTGCATTCTTAGGGTAAGTTAGTTCCTTGGGACCATGCAATGACTGATTTATCTAGAGCAGGATTTCATCACACTTAAGATAAACAGGATGGTTAAATGCTTTTGAGAAAGCATAAAGACAGCTGTGGGGAGAGATGACCACTGCCTAAACGTTGTAGGGGTAGATACCTAGTGGTGGACTTCTATATTGTTTAAAGCACTTGTTGCTCCCAAAAGAATAATAAATCCTGACTGGTTTTGTGCCGAGCTCCATCCAGCCATATCCTCAGGCACCTCTTCAGTGCAGTGTCCCCTTATGGCCTGCCACGCAGAAACATTATAAACTGGATCAAGTCCTTTGGCCTTCCTAATGGGGCTGTTGAGCGACTTCTGAGACAAGCAGATAGCTCCACAATAGTTCTAGCTCGGGTTTTGTGTCCTGCATCTTGTTCTCAGTATCTTTAACATCTTATACCAAACAGGAGCTTCTAAAGCTGTGGAGATAGGGAAATTTCTCATTCTGAAATACTCTCAATTGTGTACTGAATTAACATCTGTGGTGTTACAGTTTATTTTTATGGCTACCTCACCCAGATACATACTATAGGTATAATCAGATTATAAAAGAGGCAGCAGTTTGCCCACAAGGAATTTTTCGGTACACATATGATCAGAAATGAGCTGTTTGTACTGGCCAGGAGTTTTGGTTATTCACCAAAGCAGCAGGCATAGCCTTCTCTTAACAGGTGAGGTGCCAGATATGATGAGAGAGAAATTTCTTTCTAATAAGAACGTGACAATGGATAGTGATGATGGGGAGGAATTGGCCCCACCACATCTCAAGGAGATGACTTTCAGTACTGTTGTTGCATGTGTGGGGTACTTATTGCAGGTTTTGTGATGGGATGTTAGCTTTAGGAAGCCTTCTCCACCCAGGAGGTTGTTGACAGTGTTCTTAATTCATCTTACACATGTGCAGGAAATGGAGAAATATTCACTTCCAGTAACAGAGAAAAAGGCCACTCCCTTAATCATGAAGTTTTCTCATGATTAGATAGTTGGTGTAGACTTTTTTCAAATTTTGTGTGAGATGCATTAATTTGTTAAAACCACCCTTTGTATGTAATTATGTGTATTAATGCTGGACTAAGTAAGAGTGGATGATATGTAGGAGTAAAATACACTAGAAACAGAAATCAATCAACTTGAACTTAATTTCTGTAAGGGTTCTAAGCTCTTAATCTTGTGGAGGGTTAAGTTGACAGGGGGCTTAAACCATAAGTGTACTGTTCTGTTGTTAAATGTGTTCTTCCTATGTTACAGAGAGTTCATCAATTACATGAAGCGATCCCGAACCTTTTATGCCTCTATAGCAGAAAGGCTGTGTGATGGAGACCTGGTGATGAGAGACAGCTCAACCTGCTGGAATGGAGAGGATGTTGTAGAAAGGTAAAGTTACGAGTAAAAGTTTTCCCTAACAGTGAAAAAGGTGACTTCATGTCCTTCTTATGGTTCAGAAGCATTCTGAGACACTGTTGTCGTTACAAATCTCTCCTTCATAGTGAACTTGATGCTTAATTGAGCAAGGTTTTTGCTAAAATAAAAGGTTGTTAATGCTGGGTTTTAGATATCTGTGTTAAGTATAGTGGAACACTTTCTTGAAGGGCTGCTTTGTAGAGTCCCTTTCTTTCACTATAGAGAGACAGCTCTTTGTCTGTGGAGGCATCTTACCCTCTAAAGCTCAGTTAGCAAGCAGTTCCTCTGTGACTGACTGGAGGTCCCTTCCAGTCTGCTGTTCATAGGCTCATTAGTGCAGAGCTGAACATCATGTTTGGCCATAATTTAGAAAATATGTAGTTCTTCCTGCAAAGGTGTCAGAAAAATGCAGTGACCAGACCATTATGTTTTTAAAGGATTTCCCTGGCATTTCTTTTCAGAGTTTCTGACATAGCACTTTGAATAACAACTGTTTTGGAATTGCCCAGCATCCTTACCAGAGCATGTTCTGCAGGAATTCTTATAAAGTAACAATTAATAAATGCACTGTTCCATGTTGGTAGAGCAGCTGGAAGCTCTGTAAGGTGAAAAGATATTTCTAGTTTGTCAGCTAGTTTTTTTCCCTCTATGTTTTACCACAGTCTAGAATCCAAACTGGAAAATATACTTGCACCCTCCATGAGCTAAACTTGTTGCTGTCATTTCTCTTACTCTGTATAACACGAGGCAACGTTGCCCTGAGGAGAAAAAGAGGTATTCAGAATACAACTATATCTGTGACTATCACTGTCAAAGTATACATCAGGGTTTGCAGTGAGAGCTGGTTGGAAGTGTGCCAGTGAATGTTTTCCAAAAATGTCTTTTGTCGAAACAACTGTTTCATGGAATTGTATTGGATTTCATGATGTTTCTTTCTGAAGTGTGTTTTGTGGTCTGTAGCAGTTTTACAAGATAAAACTCTAGCATTCTGTTTTCTTGCTTTAAAACAATTTTCATGATTGAAAATTGTTTTGGAGGAACTTACGGAATAATTCCAATGTGGAACAGAGAGAGACGTTACAACTATAGGCTGTCCCATTAAAGGGAGTTCCGACTCCCACACAGCTCTGCTTAGAAGTTTAGTATTTCAATGTATGTTGGCATTTCAAATTAATTGTAGAAGCATATATTTGAAGATTTTGGCAGCAATGCAGTATTCTAAATATTAATGTATAGCGATTCTAATACTGATGGAAGTTTTTAGTGTAAAAGTAATGAAGAGGAAGTGGGGAGAATATCAGTATTGCTAATCAGAATTTCCATTTTGGTGTCCCTTTTGCTGGTAACATGTTGCTGGACAAGAACAAACAGCTTTCTGGCCAAAAGAAAAACAAGAAAAGCAAAACCAAGAATCATTTTCTATATCAACTCTCTAAACAAAAACAAAAACAAAAAAATTAATTTTTAATTTTTATCTTTTTTTTTTTTTTAAAAAAAGCTGCTTAAATTGCTGATATACATGTCTTAGAAAGGCATGAATGTGAAAGCTGTTGGTTTTTTTTCCTTTGCCAGTCAGTGCTTTCCCAGACCTGGAGACGTGGAAGAGTTTCAGGTTTGAAAAGGATAAGAAGCTGGGAAAAGTAGGAGGAAAAAGACTAACAAGACCCCTCATATTTTGAATTAAAAAGCAAAAACAAAGGGAAAAAAAACCAAAACAACCTACACCCCAACAACGACATGAACAAAAAAACCCCCACCCCACCACCAAACCCTGAAATATATCTATTTGTAGTTAATATATTAAATGGGCAAATTAGAAAATAAAAATTTAATTTCACATGTTTAATCAGACAGCAATACGTATACTTTTATCAGTTCTGTCACAGTATTGATTGCCTTAAAAGGAGGAGACTTTCCAGGCAGGCTGCACTGCCAGCAATGCTACACAGCAGCACAAACATGGTGCCTGCTTGCTGGCAAATTTTACTCCTTTCATGATCTGTTTTATAGGCTGGACTTGTCACCAGTTCTCCCCACATGAGAAATAAAACTGTCGTGGTGATGCCTGAAGATGGATTTCTCTTTACTCTTTCTCCTTTCCCAGGAGACCAGAGGATTAAATATCAGCTGTAGTAAACAGCTCTGAACTCAAAAGAGAGCCTTATTCTTAACTCTGTATCAGAAAATAGACCACCCCAAGTAATCTGGTGGATCAATTCTGAACCTGAGTTTAAGGTTACTCAGGCTGCGGAACTGGCAAAAGCTGTGGTTCCTGTTTCCTTGATGCTTCTTGCATTTCATAATGCTATTTGAAAGCTGAGTGATATTTATGCTGCATGCTAGTTGGCATTCAAGCTCTTCAGGAAAAACAAACTCAACCTTTAAAAACAATTTGACACATAAATGCAGCCTGAAACAATATGAAATTATTACTCAGAAATGGGGATTGTGCATTCAATTAGTAGAAAGGGCACTTGAGGTCTGCCAGAGGATGTGATAAACAGGATTCTCATTGTACTTTTTTATTTTATTATAATTCTCTGGATTGGGTTTTATCATGTTTAAATCAATGCACTAGCGGGCAAAAAAGAGTTTGAGCTGCCAGTAAATACACCATAAAGAGAGAGAGGTTGTTTCTACTGGTTTTAGGGTATGCTTCTGGCCTGCTCTTCAGATGGACAGCAAAACAAGGCTTTGCTAGTGTCAGTTCAGGGCCTTTGAAGACATTAGAAATACTTGCACCAGGAGTACTGTCTTTCTCTTAATTACTTTTTCGAGGAACTTGTTCCTGGAACAAGACTTCATATAAGAAATAGTCTGTGAGGCTAATAAATGGTCTGAGTATACTAAGAACACTCAGAGAAGATGAGGCAAGAGCAGAAAACCTGGAAAAATATCTTGCAAAGTGAAGCAAGCTTGGAGGAGTTTCTATGCTTGAACCTTTCTTTTGTGGCAGTGTGTCAGATGATTATCTCAATACTATGTCAGTAGAAGAGATTGCAGAAGTTGACAGGGTGAACTATAATGCACTGCCAGGACCTGACACCATTCACCTGAGAACTCTAGAAAGACTAAAGGGTTAAATAGTTGAATTATTCATTGTGATACTGTAGTTTCTTTAAGAGTGCTCCAATAGTAGATGATGGAAAGATGTGAAATGTGAAGGCATTGTATTTTTAGCAAAATAAGGATTTCGGAAAGGTGTGGCTGGTAAACTTGGTATGTAATAGTAAAATCTGTAGAAACTATAAGCAGATGAACGTGATACTTAGGGAAAGGAATCAACATGTTGAGAGTCTTTAGAAGGAGGTAACAAGCATGTAGACAGGGTAGATTGCTGTAGTCTGTTTGGATTTCTGATAGGTGTTTGATATGGTCCTTCACACAAGGCTGGTAGACATGAAAATAAGGGTAGGGAATCGATGGTTATAAGTTACAGTAGAAAGAGATCACCAGTGGCAGTGCATGGGGCATTTGTGCTGGAACCTGTGCTGTTCATCTGTCATAAAAGACCTGTGAAGGGGAGTGAATACTGCAGTGGCAGCATATGCTGATGATACTAAGTTATCCAGGGTAGAAAAGACAAGGGTCACCTGTGGTTAATTGCGGGAGGAATGACTAGGCAATAAAATGGCATATGGAATTCGACGCTGGCAAATGTAAAGTGATTCACAGAAGTACAATCCACATGTTACATACAGAATGGTGCGCACTGAGGTGGCTTTCACTGCTCCAGGCATGCGGTGTCTGCAGTTCTGCTGTCCCCAGGCTCAGAAAGAGCACAACTGCAAATGTACAGAGGGAGCAACAAGGAGGAGGATCAAGGGCATGAAATGGATCCTGTATGTGGAATGGCAGGCACTCCAGCCTGACACAGAAAAGATAGAAGGGGAATATTATAGCGGCCCATAAAAATCATGTGTGTTGTGGAGATGCTGAATAGGGATTTGTTGTTCACTGTCTCTTTCGTTACAAGAACAAGAGGCATCTTCTTAAATTAATAAGTGATAGCTTGAAAACAGAAGGAGATACTCCTTTGCTAAACTTTGGTTAAGCTGTGAAAATTCTTGCCTTGGGATGTTTGGGTGTTTAAAAAAATGGATGAATTCATGAGTGTCCTGGTTTCAGCTGGGATAGAGTTAACTGTCTTCCTAGTAGCTGCTACAATGCTATGTTTTGAGTTCAGTATGCCAAGAATGTTGATAATACTGATGTTTTCAGTTGTTGCTAAGTAGTGTTTAGACTATAGTCAAGGATTTTTCAGCTTCTCATGCCCAGCCAGGGCACCTGACCCAAACTGGCCAACAGTGTATTCCATACCATGGGACGTCCCATCTAGTATGGGAACTGGGAAGGGGGGGCGGGGAATCGCCACTCGGGGACTAGCTGGGTGTCGGTCGGCGGGTGGTGAGCAGTTGCCCTGCGCATCATTTGTACATTCCAGTCCTTTCATTATTGTTGTTGTCATTTTATTAGTGTTATCATTGTCATTATTAGTTTCTTCTTTTCTGTTCTATTAAACCGTTCTTATCTCAACCCATGGGTCTTGCTTCTTTTCCCGATTTTCTCCCCCATCCCACTGGATGGGGGGGGAGTGAGCGAGTGGCTGCGTGGTGCTTAGTTGCTGACTGGGGTTAAACCACGACAATGAGCAAATTCAGCTCATAGAAGAGCAAGTTGTAAAATTACAAGGCAATCAGGTGCCACAAGCAAGTCTCTTTCTCTAAGAGCTGAGGCAAAAGGTTAGACAAAATATTTCCTCTGGTCACTCTTAGGCAGCTGCTCCCATGGACTTCTTTTCTGTAGGGGCTAAACTGCAGCAACCTTCCTCTCCTCAAGAATCTCTCTTCAACTATGCTAAACGCTGGCATTGAATCACTTTCTGCATTCTCCCTGGCCGTGGTAGCTAAACAGGATTTGCTATCTCACGTCTTGGCTTCATAAATGGCAGACTAGTACAATACAGTGCCCAA